CTTGCGAACGTGGAAGAAAATAGCAACAGCGCTGACTACAATGACTTTCGAGTATTGATCATGTTTTTCGCGACGTAAATTGCAGAAATGATGGTATCTTCACTTCGGCGTATCGCACGGCTTTCGAATAGTCTGAAAAGGGTTTTCAGCAGCGACACACAATTCGCTTTATTAAAGCTTGCGGCATTCATAGCGAACAGCAGCGACACAGAGAAGAGATGACATTACTAATTTCATCGTGTTCGGGGGCTTTTAATTTTATCGACATGGCGCGTCGCAACGACTTTTGTAAAATTCAATTAATTCTGTATAGGCGTGAAATCAAAATGACAGCTGCTCCGAAGCACGCACACATGGCAGTAATTGTCTTGGATTTAATAATTTCTTGCAATTTTCCTTCATTTCGCCAAAATATATAGAGAAATTGAGCTTTTTATTCGTTTGTGAGTATGATTGAACGTGAGAATTTGAAAGATTTTCATTCAATCGTATAACGTGCTGAGTCCGAAACTTGATATTTGCAATTTGTTACTGCAACCGTTTTCCAGCAACTTGTCTACGTCGATGTATCATGCTTGGTTGTCTAATTAATTTAATTCAATTTTGTAGCCGTGCTCGGCTACGAGTTTTACAAGCTCGAGCTATCGTGAAATTTAATTCGTAAAATTTGAAGGAAATCTTTATGAAAATTTATGTATTTTAATTAATATTTGCCGGAAAAGTATAAGCTCACGATAAAATTGAAAAATGTAAATTATAATTTTGTTTGTTTTAGCGAATAATTAGTGAGTGAAAGAGATGCGCTTGAAGTGGTCAACAGATGCGATTCAAAGCCCAGGCGATTCATCGGCCCTCGTCAAAACGCGCGGAGAACGATATTGGTAATAAATTACACTTTGGACGCGTTTATACATTTCATCCGGACTCGTTTGCGCGACGCAACTTTTGGTCAAATCGCAACAACTATTTGCGCTAATTGGAATTCCTTATTACGAATAAAATGTCGAAACGTCGAACGAGCGCATACGTAATCACGCTTCGCGCACAATTCGTTAATTTTCTTTCTCGAATAGTTTGATTTTAATTACATTTACGTCAAAGTGCAGCGTGTTTTCCTTTTATACACATCTGCGCGCATACATTAATGCAGCGAGCGTTGGCACATGTATACTTATCGAACCTCATTAAATTGAATTGTCGGGCACAAATGACGCGTGCCGTATTTATATAATCTATCTTTAATGCCGTTTTTGTTCTCCGCAACGAGGAGCGCGAGGCGCGGGTAAATATGAAAATTAAAGCGCAGATTATCGTAAAAACACGGCAGAAAATAGCTTAAACTTAATCGTTCTCAAAATGTACACCGCACACATACAGAACGCCGACATATATACATACGTGTAAACTATTACGTGCCAAGCTGCGGAGCATACGCTATTTTCAGGGGGGCACGATGGCGTGTAGCGCATATTTGTAACAGCACGTAAAAGCGTCTCGACGCCTCGTCTCTCTCTCTCTCTCGCTCACTCTTAGACTCGTATAGCACGAGTATATGCATGCCCTCGCGGAGAGACAGAAATATGTATAGGCTAAACTCTTGACTATATACGCTCTATGCAGGTCATGAGCCTTCCTTTTTTTTCGCGAATATATTTAAGGCAACACGTGCTCGCGCCTGTGAGCCTCTGCGTGATGAATTTTCAGACGCGCACAATACTCGAGTGCATTATGTACACGCGCGTCCTCGGTAGAAATTCGGCGCATTAGAGGCGGACCATGTGCAAGCTCTTGGCTGAGGCTCTTTGCATTTATTCGTACTTTTTGCCGACGAGCGACACACCTATACAGGTAGGGATGAAGCTGCGCGATAAGACGCCGCGAACTTTTCCTCTCGCTCAATCAGATACCCGAGCTTTCAGCATCCGAGAGTAATTCACCTCGTCGCTCGCGATAAGCACATTGCAATGATAAGCTCGCTTCGGTGAAGCTACCACGTAGCTATCTTATATACGCGTGTGTAAGTGTGTGTGTGTGTGTGTGTGTGTGTGCAAGCACAGGCCTGTGTATATGGATAAAATCGATTCGAAATTATATCGAGATCGAACGGACGGTGGTAATGGGAGAGAGAGAGAGAGAGAGAGCGACGGACGACTGCGCCAGTGGGTGACCCTTTATCGCGACATCCGACGACGTCTATGTGCATTCTTCGCCTTATAATACAAGGTAGGTTTATTTATTGGCTATACACGAGCCGAGGGAGAAGTGGGTCAGTCAGGGTTAGTGATTCGTGACCGACGGCTTACAAAGCAGCGTCGCGTCGCTCTGTCCCTCTCTCTCCCTCTGCGCCATACACAAAACTACCCCGCACGTCGACGAGTCGAGATAATCCGACACTTTTATGCGTCAAGCTGGAGCGAGGCTTCATATGGATTTTGGCCTCTTGAGCCCTAATGAATTACATAATCCATGGAAATTTAATTGCCAGCTCTCCGTATAATTACTCGCTGCTCTAAACGTCACACTCGACGAGCTACCCACCATCTATAGCGAGTATAATAATATAGCTATAGACATTTTGTAAATGTATAGGGTCAACAGACGTGGCGATGCATAATCGATCGATCTCGCGCCAACGAGGATAGCTCGTATACATATACACGAGAGCGCCTGTTAACTATACGAATACGAAGCTCCGCCGCTGATTTCGATGCAGCACGAAGATTATATCGAGCCTACAGGCCTTAAAAGCTCCTCGGGGTACGATCTGTGGAGTGTGGACTGAGTCGGATGACAACACGTGGGGGTTCGAAACAACGCGATTGAAATTATTCCGGGCTAATGCCTACTGAGCATTTTGCATGCTTGGCTAGCGGGCATCTTTTTTCCTCTTCTGCTTGGCGTATTTTCACAAGATACGAGATCAACGTGCTTGCGAAAAAGTTTTCTTAACAGCGATAAAGCGACTTTTTGGACAGCGCATCAATCGTGGACATTGTTTAACTTTTTTACTATATTCATTGCTGTAGCATTTATGGATAAAGGTTGAGATGTTAAAGATTCGCCTAGTAAACAAAATAAATGAAGGGATTTTTTTATGTAACTCGAAAAATTGTTCAAAGATCTAAGCACACGGGCTCTCCGTAAATTTGGTTCAATTCGCAAAAACACTCCTGAAACGCGTACCATTAAAAATTCATCGTGGATTTAGAAAAAAATGTCGACAACGCATAAATGTAATTACTCTATCTCTTTGCAACTTGCCAACGCGATCATTGCGACTGGCAATTAATTGAAGCTTTTTTTTCAAAGCAACATTCGAGCCGAATAAAAAAGAAATAAAAGCCGTAACCGGGGTAATACGTGAGTTCGTGTCATCGTTTGGGAAACGAGAAGCTATTATTCCATTTCTTCTTCAATTAGACACACAGTAGCAGCTGCTACCTGCCTACCTTGGAGATAGAAGCGAAGTATAACCAGGTCGACGCTCGGCGTAGTACACGATACGGACTGCACACACATATACATAGGCACGAGGCCTATGACTGTGCCCCTTTGCTTGTGCCTTTGTGCTAATACATATATATGCGCTTCAATTTTTATTAAAGAAAATAGAATTTTTAAAATGCGGCTCGAGATGCGCCCAGGAAATGAATTATTACTGCTGGATGGATGTGATCGATAAGGCGACCGTTCGTACATATCTCTGCACTTTCGTAAGTATAATAGATCACGCTTTTTTTCTTTTGAAAATACCAACACGTAGCGCAGCGAGCCTCGGCGTGAAATATCGAAGTTTAATGGATCGCTCCTTCGTGGAGGCTCAAAACTGTCAAGTTTCGCCTGCTCGCGTTATAAACACGAAAATAAAACGACGAAAAAAGCCCCCGATATTTACAGCCGATAAGACTGGCGTGGCAAAAAGTAAAAATATGTTCGTCAAAGCTCTTCGTGTCGGCCGCTGTCGCGCGCTCTAAAAAGCCTCCTTCAAAAGTGTAAACAATTTTTTTTTTACCGACATTTTACATGAATATACAATTCTATTTGAGCATGAAACCAAATGAACTATCCGCACGGATTGTCCAGGTCAATCCAAAAGCATTTTATCTACAAATAACATTGTAGCCTCAAAAAAAAGAAGTTAAAAAAAGAAAGAAAGAAAGAAAGAAAGAAAGAAAGAGAGAATAAAAGAAAGAAAGAAAGAAACATGGAATCGATATGATGCACTTTGCAACAGTAAAGTCGATTACACAAGACTTTGACAAGTTATTCGCGCGTGATCAGACTTGGATATATATAGGGTCACGGATATGGAATTACTCATAAAATTTATATACATAGATATATGCACTGAGCATTCGATATAATGGATTGATCCGACTTAAATTGCTCTAAATCCCAAGCCCCTCGGTTCGAGCTAGAACGCGTTTATTCTTGTAGTGATCGATCTGACTTTGCAATTAATATTTTATTTGTTGTGAGTCAGCCTATATCAAACGCAGGAGAAATGTTTTCACACGCTCTCTCGGATGTTGGTGAATGAAAAGGCCCAAGGCAAACAAAGATGGCTCAATGATACTTGCGTTGTAGAGCCGCGAGGCATCGGAAAAAATGCCAATCGCATTCGCGCGTCAAACCGAACGATAAATTCGGTTCACAGACAGAACTATACAACGTGGACAGGGCTTGAGGTAAAGAGAAATTATTATACGCAAACAAGCCTTTTGTCTTTGGTCATTGCGGAATACGATTTCTGTCTTGGAGCATCAATTGTTGAACAGATAAGCCGGTCAGGAATCGATTGGTATTGATCGGAAGAGCCGCGGTGTCCCGGTGGTTGTCTTCGTCACGTGATATTCACCATCCGCGAGTGAATGAGAGAAAGAGACAAATTCTTGATTCTATCTGTCTGCGTGTATGTATGCGCGAATCTATTTTGCCGCTGCAATACGTCTGCAGAAAGTAAATCGAATGTTGCATCGCTTAAATTTTCATCGACTTACCTATTACAGCGACATCCGATTTTTCTTCGATATCCAATGAAACACTTTGAAAGTAATGCTTATCTCTACGTGCCACTAATACTCGAGCAGCAGCAAATGTAGCACACTTTTTTTTCAACTAATTTCTCTCCTCTCTACTGGAGGCACACAATTTATAAACAATCAACATATCATCGCAGCACCAATGTAAAACAATTAGCCACTTTGAACACTCGGTACGGATGTATAAGGAAACATAGCCAGAAGCAGAATTTAATGAAACGGTAATAACTCGATACGTTGCACATGTACTTGTTTATTTCTTGTTTTGCACGATATGAGGAAAGGGAGATAGAGAAAGAGAGATAATTCGAAGGAGAGGCAGATAGACACACACAGAGACGTAAAGAATAGAATAGAACGAGAGGAAATAGAGATAGAAAAGAGAAAAAAGTAGTTAAGCAGCGGTAGAGTGGCGGCCTGGATAGCACGGCATGGCGCGATGTCACGCATACACTGAATGGGGAAGGCCAGCCAGTGAGGCAGCCACGCGCTCGTTCACTCGGCAGCTCTCACTGATGTGCTTTCGTACCGCTGCCACTACTACCCCAAAGGTGGGATGTGGAAGAGAGAGAAGGTGAGCGAGCGAGCGAGCGACAGAACCGAGCGCGCTCGCGCAAATCAAACTACCCGCGCGCACTCGCATACAGCCACACGTATAATACACGTACGCGCGCGCACACAGGCTTCGCGTTTGCCCTATGTACATGGTAGCTTCGTGTATGCGACGCCGCCACCGCCGCCGCGAAATACATCCACTAGAATAGTAAGCGTACACGGGTGTATGTGTGCCTGTATGTTCTTGTGCGCTCGCACACACACACACACACACATTCTGTCTAGAAAGAGAATGAAACAGAGAAGTGGGTGTGTTTTCGTTCGAGAGAGAGCGAGATGCCGCGAGCTATCGTTCGTTGCCATGCCGACGTCTCGACTCGAAAATATACACCGCGTAGGGAGCGAGCGAGACTGCCGGTGGAGGGAAGAAACGCGCCGTGCGCGCGACCGACTGACTGACTGCCTGACTAAACTCAACGTGCAAACTCCATAATATAACACGAGCTTGCGAGCGAGCTGCACTACTATATACTCGCTGCTGTTGCTGCTGCTGCTGTATGTGTAGACGCGCTCGTGCTCGACGCACTAATTCCTATCTGCCTATACGAGCTAAATGGACTGAGTTTTTTCGCTTGTCTCGACCTTATCCCTCGCAATTTTTACACTGCCGTGTCTCCTTCGTGCCGTTTGCGACTTGTGTAGTTTTATACACGATTCCAACGAACACCCTCTGCTCCATTTTCCATATATCGATTATCCTATATTATCGAAAGTATAATAACTTTATATGTCCATTAATCATTTGAATTAATGGCTAATTACAACTCGTATTCTCAACAAACTTCCGACTCATTCAAAATCCAACTTATAATAGTGTAAGTTTTAAGAAAAACTCTCAAGATAATATATTTCATCATTTTCAATGTTAGCCTCAAGTTGAATCTAATTTTGTGCAAGCAAGCACAAGTCATATTAAATTTGGTAACAAGCCATCTGAATAAAAAAAAATCGAATGTGGAAAGCGTAATTAATTAGTTAGATTGTCGCTTACTTGAATAAATATGTTTCTGACGAAAAAAAACTAAATAACTGGATTTAGCTGGTGTGGCTTTATTTTTATGCACACCTAAAACTCTTACAAAATATTTTACCCCGTTCTTTCATAAAAACTCTACATATTCCACTGAAAGTTAATCTTAGGTATAGTATTTTATTATTCATAAAATTTCGATTATTAGATTCATCAAGCCGTATTTCTAAGAGACCCATTGCTATACAATGTTACGTGACATTTTAATTAAAATAAAATATTTCATCATTTCAGTGGAACGAAACAAGCATACAAGATATTGAATATGTTTTCTCTGAGTATTTACGAAATATATTTTTTGAGAGAGAAAGGGAGAGAGAGAGGGTTGAAAAAAGGCGCGTTGCATCTTCTATCTTTAATAGATGATTAAAAAGCTTTTAGTTAAGAGGAAGAGAAAGAGAGTTGCACTGATGAATAAAACGATTCAATAAGGAAAAGCTCCTGAATACCATTTGGGCTTCGTTTTTTTTCTTTCACTCGCCAGGCGCAAGATAATGGGTATCATACTTTATGCAACTATATTACCTGTTATTCTGCCGACGTGCACACGTTTTTCATATGCATTATGATCGGGCTCAAATGAATAAAACATTAATCTTGTAAAATCTTAATGCATAAGCCGAAAATTCATTTATTACGATCAACATTTTCCAGAGCTTAGGAGGAAGAAAAATGTAACCAACAACGAGGAATTCACTTGTTCTAAAATAGTCATTAACGAAGCGTAGGGAGTATGCGGAGGGTGCAAGAAAAAAGAGCGATGAGAAGAAAAACCCTATACGAGAGTGACTACACGAAAAAGAAGCAACTAACTGAAGTGGCAGTATATGAAGGGAAATGGCGGATGGGGGGGAAGAGGGGTTAATGTGCTTTAGTCAGCTGCAATGTTTAGCTCGACGTTTGCGTGACGTTCAATCAAACACGTAGTGGCAAGGAGCTTTTGATCGTACATTACGTTGACTTTTTTGAAAATGAATGCAGCCCAGCCTCGTATAAATAAAATCCGATTTTGCAACTTGAGTCTAGTTTTCTTCGTAAATGAAATTTTTAAATTTGTTTTTTAGTAAAAAGTAATCGTTCGTATAAGTTCAGTTACATCTACGTTATTTCTTTGCAAAAAGCTCTCTCGCAAGCTCGCCAACTCGTTACACAAGGTGTAATTTTTCTTTTTTCGCCAAAGACTGAATAAAGGGGAAAAAGAGACAAGCGTGCTCGAAGAAAAATTTTACCATACAACCGGTAAAAACGCATCCCCAGTCCAGCATTGTAAGCTAGTATAATGACGAGCTCGTCACTTTTAAAAGCTAATAGCCATACAGCATAACTTGATAATAAGTCGAGCGCTTTCTTTCAAAGCTTTTGTACACTATCAAGTGCTTGTACCTCGTTTGTAGTTAATAATTAATGCATCGTTGAAACGGAAAATCTTCGAAATTCTCGTTGTATTATTTCGGAAAAAGTCAGATGAATTCAGCACACATAATTATCTCAAGTTGCAGAATTCTGATGATTGTCGTTTACTTGAATAAATTTACAGTAAGAAACGATAAAAAGAGTGCAAAGGTAAAAATTATAAAAATAAGCGTAAGCTATAATAATTTTGGGCTCGATAACGAAGCGGACGCTTTAGTAGCCAGCTCCGGTAAAAGAAAAATCGATACGAGACTACAACATCAAATAGTCATTCGATGTCCCAGTTAATGAACTTACCTCGCTCTGCACAATCACTGCAAATATCTCGTAAATTTTTAAAGATTTTAAATTTTTTTACCACGATACTAAGTCCATACAACGTCGGTACTAATGCAGTTACTCGTCGCGTTCGTATATTATCGAATACAGCTGGAGGCGAGAACCGAGTGAGAGAGTAATTTTTTCGTCGACGCGCGAGACTCGGTAATTATTACATTTACATTATTACATGGACGTTTTGTTGAAAGGAAAAATAATAGAATAAGAAAAATACAAGAGTTGTGAGCTGCACATGTAGGTGTTTTTATTGGTCAATAAAAGACGTAGGATAAGCAGTTTAGGCCGTACGGCGCGCATTACGCGTCGAGTTGACATTACTCGTGGGCAGGTCGCGCGTGTCGTCGTTTAAAAGCCCAAGTGTGTTTATAGAAAATACCTCGACGACTTAGTTCGCAATAATACGATAATAGACTTGGCACGCGGGAGCGCATTTATTTTATCGGCCGGTATCGCGCGTATACATACACACACACATATTGACACACGCAGCAATTCATCGCCCCCCTCGGCATATAGGCAAGCTATATGAGAGTATTCACTTTCTTTACGAATCGTACATTCGACGCGGCACGTGTTAATTTCGAGAAACAAAGAAACAAGTTGCCGGTTGGCAGCTCGCAAAAGCCTGGTTTCGTTTTTCTGTTTTCCCCCGGCGGCTCAATAAGCAAACGCAGTGACTCGATGGAAATTCTTGAAACCAATAGTAGAAGAAAAAACGACCAAGCGAACCGCAAGATATGCGCGTAAATTGGATTAAAAACAACGCAAGATGCTAGTTCAATGTTCGACTTTTGTAGATCTTCACCTAGAAGGTCTCTTTTTGATATCTCCAGATGGCTACCTGCTCGCTCGTACTCACACACACAAACACACGCTTGGACGTACAAAAGTCATGTGGCCGCCGCACGTATGAGATTCGTTTCAAGCCGTTGAGTCAATTAAGGCAGCTTTGGAGAGCGAAGAAGGAAAAAGAACAAGAAAGAAAAACGACGCGGAGTGCTCACGTACTGGTAAAAAGTTAAGCTCAAGCTGGATTTTCGATCATCGACGAGAGCGGACTAGAACTTACGACTTTTAGGGTACTTTCCCGATCTTTCACTCAAGGCAAAGTTTGGTCGTCGCTATGGAGCAGCGAGTTGCTTATTGTTGCACCCACAGGCACACGCGATAATTAGCAGCGTCATAAAAATCATAACTCGATTGTTTGTCGGAGTTCGAGAGGCGGGTCGCATATATAAAAGCGTATAAACTAACGAGACACTTTGCTAGTTCAGCCATCGTTAGGTGAAACTCTATACCAGGCCAACTGGAATGCACCTCGTCACGGCTCTATATAAGCTCCATGCGCATGCACACAAACAAACTCGTACACACACACACACACACACACACACACACACATGATGTACATACACCGAGTCTCTGTTCGAAAGCTCGCGCATAAGCTCGGATTTCCATTCTTAAAACCGACTGTAATTATCTATCGACTTTGTATATTTTTATTCGTCCGAGCTAGCTTTACTTGTAGGTACGTCATGTTTTAAGCAGAATGACGAACGACTGCATTAGCCAGACTGGGTAAAAGCATATAAACCGCATTAGATAAGACTTGTTTATTGGATATTCTTGGAATTGATGCGCGTATACATTATTTGAATGATAATGCTTTGGCGAATTGATACCCATCCTAAGCGCTTCTCTGCATGTACGTGTGTAGGTGAGTGTGTGGCGGGTTATAAATGGATCGCGTGCGAGATTGAAACGTTGCGCGCCACGGCCGAGTGTGCAAAAGCTCGGGAATGATGTATGATTATTGCTATTTGATGGCTCACGGAATATTATGGAGCAAGGTATGCGCGCGCGCGTCACAGCTCGAATGTATTATTGTCTTTGGCAGCTGATTTCCCGTCGTTTTCCCACTGATTTCCTTTTTTTATCTCGCGCTGAAAAACATTCGATCGCGAGACCAATTTGGACGCGGGCGTAGATAAAAAATGCTAATTAACGATTTATCGGGCTCGAGCCGCTATAGGAAGCTTTTGAGCGTGCTTGAAAAGCCGATGTCTCAAAGACGACGTCGACGACGAATCGATCGGCTCGCTCGCGCGCCTACGTCTGCTTTATAAGACGCTGACACTGCCAACGAAGATGTTGATGCTTTTGAAAGTGCGTACATGTACACACACAGACACAGACACACGTGTTACAAGTAAACGTAGTGGAGCAGCGCGGCACAGAGTCGCGTGCGCCGAGCTCCGAGAGGCAGCGCGGCTAGAGTGCACTTTACTCACTCTGGATTCCTTTGTGCTTTGTACACAACCCCCCTTCGTGCGGTGTTCTATATATATTCGCTCTCTCTCTCTCTCTCTCTCTCTCTCTTACTCTGGCTTTGAATCAGCCCATGTGTGCGTGTGTATGTGGCTTGCCGAGCCCGCGGGAACTTGTATTATATAGTGGATGAAATTAAGCCCTGTATAATTGTGACTGTCACCATGCACCGAGGCTTATTTTTTTCTTATTTTTCTCAATTCATCTTGTAAATATCTTTTTTTTTTTGACTGCGCGAGTAAATTTAGAATGTGGAAGGCTATATATACTCGAGAGCTTGCGTTTTCCAAGTCCGCGGAGGATGTACATAAACTCGGATACGCGTTGCACAATATACACGAAAATTCCATTCTCCGCAAGTAGAAAAAGAAGCGGTCCGTTGCCGCAGCGCAGTTATATAGCGGCAGCACCAGCTTCAGAATTTTATAAGCTCTTTTTTCTATGCGCGAGATGCAGCCCAGTACACCCGACCGAGCGTTATTTGTTGCTGCTTACTCTCGCTCGGCTGCTCGTCCCGACACGGCTCGTGCTACATTATGGATCCTCACTTCAGCAGTATGGGAGAAAAATTAGACTTTTACTCGGCTGTGTGCGAATTTTCACGTACTCGCAATCGAAATCACGTCAAATTTTCAGCTCATGATTCGCCGGGGCCAGGATTGAATTTATTCGAGCAAAAATCCGCCGAGAGCTTGCTTTCTTTTTCTTTTTTCAAGTACAATGGAGATTACGAGACATCAGCGAGAGGTTACTTTCTCTTGGGCGAAGGAAACTTTTTCGCTACGTTCGCCCTAAAACGAGAAAACTTTAAATTTTGCCGTGGTTGTACTTGAGGTACTTTTGGCTATTCACTTCCCGACTAGATAATGCGCGAAATAACAAATGCTTTTATACTTGAAAAATATATTGTTTTTTTTCCTCACATTGATTATACATGTTTTTTTCTCTAAACTTACATTTAAATAAACACTACGTTCCTGCATGCATAATTACAGGCTATAACAACGAATTAGTTATCCATAAAGTTTTGAATTCCATACAAAGTTTTGAAACTCGTCTAAAATCTAATCAACCAAAAACAATTTTAGATCTCATATCTGCACGCCCCCCGTATATATACAACACTTGAAATAGAGTACAACTGAATTCATCCAATTAAAAGTTGGCTCTCGGTCGCTTTGCCGAAATTCGTGCTCAACAAAAGTATACGTATCAGCAGCAGCGGCGGGCGCCGCCGCTAATATTTCGCCGAACAAAAGCGCAATAATGATAAAGTCTAAGCGCCGACCAAACGCTTGACGAAGTATCCGGGAAAAGCGTAGACTCCGGCGGCGACGAGGAGCACCACGAAGATGCAGCAACAACAGCCGATTATCCGCCAGCGGTAGTAGCGGCAAACCACGAAACAGCAGGCTTTCCAGGGATTTCGAAACCAAGAAAATGACGTGTCCGGTCGTCTGTGCAGGCGTAATTTTTGCATGTATATATGTATACACTCGAGATATTAAATTTTAATCGGCGTAGCCCGCCCTTTGTACTCATCCTCGCAATAATCCATAGGGGCGTGCAAGATTAATGCAGGATGAGAAACTTTGGAAAGCTTGTTTGCTCGACTGGCGGTCCCTTGTTTATTTACCTAATTAATTTTTTCAAGATATTCTTATGGAGCTAATTTTTTTTTGTTCCTACTTTCTAAAAGCAAAACGTTCTCTCCCCTATACGCGTGCCTGGCTTAAACGAAAGAAGAATGAAAATTCTGGAATAACTGTTTTTTAATTTTACCACCGAGCTTTTGGTAGAATATATATAGCAACGCTTTGACAAATATTTATTTTAACTTTAACTCTAGCCTATATTTATTTAGCGTTGCACCTATTCGTTTCAACAATATAAGAGCGAAATTTCATGCTAACATTTTTGCTGCCATGCGCTTTTTTTAATTGTAATTTTCGACTTTCGGTGTGGTAAAATTTTTGTTTATTCGGTCTGCTCAATCTCGACTATGTAATTGGATTGAATTTATTATAGTAAATGGGTTTGAAACAAACTTTTTATCATTGATCGCATTTAATTAAAAAAAAAAAAAAAAAAAAAAAAGAAAAGCTTGTCCAAAAATCAAAAAAATATACGTATTATGTTTAGACTATCCTATAGTATTCGACAGAATGATTATTCCATGGTGTAAAATAGCTTGCATGTAAATGGAAAATTTGGTAATAGCACGGCAAGATAATGCAAGTTTTTTGCGGAGCAATGCAAACACACATATTGGGTAATATCCTCTCGATACTTTATGACTTGAATGGCTCCGCATAGCTGGGAGCAATGCCGCGTTGGAATAGTAGCTGCAGAGGGGTATTTATATTTTATGCCTCAGCGAGCTTACATCCAGCTCTCGCGTACAAGGCACGCGAGCTCTCTCGCATTCAAATTTACGCGCGCGCGCGCGGAGCAATCGAAAAAATGCAAATAAACAACGTCGACGACGCCTGGAGGCTACGGCCTCGATTTAAATTGTTCAGAGCAGCGCGTCGTTGATTATCCAAGTAGCCACTTGGCATTAAGTGCCCATGGCAAAAACGCAGCAGCGTCAGGTGACAAAGCCAAAAACATCTCACTGATCAAAGCTCTCGCTGTCGGTGTTTTTCGTGCCCGGCGCCTAGACGCACGCGCGCGTACGCGCTCGCTTCTCTGATTAATTAAACCGATCCCTTCTCTCTCACTGCATCCCTCGACAATTTAATTATACCACTAGCAATGACGCTGGTTCGGGCGCAGGAAACGTACTTACTTGGGCGGTGGCAGGGCTTCCGGTGGCTTGCGTCCTCTTCCGACCGGCTGCTGCTCGGCCTCTTTAACCGGCAACACGCTCAATTCCAGCTCAATTTTGCCCTAGGCCAAAAATGTCAACCCGTTATGCACTAGCTCGTTCCATGAAAGGGTAAAAGCGCGTAAAAAATGAACAAACAGCCTGCATGGGATGGCCCACGGTCTTGCTGACGGACAGAGGCCACCAAGCGCGAGTCCTCTCGAGTCGGAACAGATTCACTCTCGGCGTGTTCGGGTCAAGCAGGCTCAATTTGCAGTTGCGGGAGCTGTGGCTTCCTTTCGGCAATTTGCCCAAGTCGAGACTCAGCGCACCTAGTCCAAAGAGATAATGGCTAGACCGAAGAGAAGCCAAGTAACCCAAGCATTTTTTGCACAGCTGTCCTCACCCAAAAAGTCGTCCTTGGAAAAGTGATCGCTGTCCCAGACCTGGATCTCGAGGACGCAGGGCACCTGCTGCTCCGTCTCGTCGCGGGCGAACACCGAGGCCTTGCGCCGGACGATCATGCAGCGCTCGCCTCGAGCCCACGTGAAGCGAAATGTGAAGCGCCAGTTGAAGTTGCCCTCGCCGGTCAGCGAGTTGTAGTGCACGTCGGTGCGCTGCGCGTCCTCCGGTAGGATCCACCTATAATACGATTCGAGCTATGACGCTGCTGTACCCGGGGCCAGCCTATTTTTTTATTTCAGCCAAGCGACGAGCTTGCCAAAAGCGGCCACCGCCTCGACGCCGAGCACTTACCCCTTGACGTAGATATCCGAGCACTTTTCGCCCGTGAGAAATTGACTGTCGACCAGAGGAACGTTCTCGGTGTTCCAGACGATCACGCGAAGCTCGTAATCCTCCCGTGGCTGCGGACTGATGTCGATGGCGGGCTTTGCCGGCAATTCGTCGATCGGAAACATATCGATCCACATTTCAACTCTGCCCTGGTTTTTTTTTGTTTCGTTTTTTTTTATCGCAGCGTGAAAAGGATAATAAGCCAGTCAATGTTGATCTTAGCATAAAATTGAAAACTCGCTTAACATTCGACAAAGTTGGCTGCGGATAAAAGTCAAGTTTTGCCGGAACGAGCGTATTTGACTTTTCTCGAAGCCGCGGCGGCCCGAAATATAATGCATACGCGATCAAAAGGTATAATAAGAAAAATTGGCGATATGCGCGCGCTCAAATGAGGTTCATTAAAACGTCCAACCTGCTGCAGTCCGGGCCTCTTGGGATTGAATAGAGGACGTCTCTCGACGTGCTCGGGAACGAGGGCACAGCCGCAAATTGGGAAGTCCGACCAGCGATGCAGTACGCTCAAAGCCATTCGTTCCTCCTTATCTATGTGGGTGAATTTTTTCTTTTTTTTATCATGGCTTGTTCGCATGCATACGCAGGAAAGAGAGAATGAAAAGAGAAATTATCGTGGCTGTATGACGTTGTGGATTATTTTTTCCACCCACTCGGGCGTTTTCGCATATTAATAAAAGGCGTAAAAAGCGATCGATTTCTATTTGCGCACGCGTTCAAACGTGATTAATTAACGGCTCGCGCTAGTCGCCACGATGAATCGCGAGTCGCTGCAAGCACGAAGATTTATAAGTGTCATTGAGACGAACCCGTCTGGTCGCCGAGACCGGGACAGAGAAATTTGATCTTTCCGATGCGCACGTGATCGTCCCAGTACTCGGGCAGCGGCAGATTGTTCCTCTTGCAGAGCTGGCGCAGTATCTGGCAGGGCTTCTCGCGATCGCGCCAAGAGTTGTAGCCCGTCTCGTCGTAGGTGAGGGCCAGGCCGCAGGTGGCTCGATGCTGGCTGTAGAAGCGATTCTCGATGTCGATTCGCGTCTCGCCGATGAGATCGTCCGCCGAGGTGGCGTCGTAATCCCACAGCTGCAGCAGCAGGCTGTGATCTTTCGGCAGCGAGGCCTCGAGCTCGTACACCCTGCGCGCGGGGAGTCGCGTCAAAATCTATAATTAAATCACGCAAAGCTAGGCCGTGTATCTTCTGCTTAAGCCGCAATGCGATCTCCGATATTAATTTATCTCCCGGCAATTATTGATCAAGCGCTCCGGCTCGTATATATATATGGGTCAAAATAATACTTTTTTACAAAACCGTGCGCACGTATGTCACCGATCTTGACGCGCTTTTGGTATGTTGTAGTACATGGTAAAAAGGTCCCAAAAAAAAATTTTTAGACCCCCTCCCCCGTCCTACCCCCCACTTCCGGTATAAACGTCCATTTTCGATCTATATTTTTTCTGAGGACATGAAGCAAGTAAAAAATCTGAAAAAATTCATAAAAATACTTTTCCACAATCCAAACAACCTTGAATTTTTTCAGATTTTTTGAGTGCTTCAGGCCTTCAGATAAAATCATTGAAAATTTCAAAAATCGAGATACGGCGGTATGAGCCGATGTAGTACTCGGAAATTTTTTCAGTTATTTTTCGCATTAAAAAACATAACCTCAATTTTTTTCAGATTTTTTCAGATTACCTAACGCACCTTTTGAAGCCAAAAACCGATTTTTTTGACGAAAATAATTTTTTTAGGACAGTACGGAGCCTCGAAAAATCTGAAAAAAATTTTTTCTTGTTTTTTTCATCAAAATACGTAATCTCAAATTTTTTCAGATTTTTTAATTGAAGGCGATAGCTTCTAGGGCCGAAAAATGCTATTTTTAACAAAAAATGGTTCCTAGAACCCGATGGTTCCGGTGAAAAAATTTGAAAATATTTTTTTTGAATTCCTTGTCAAATTTTAATAAATTTTGACCGTTTCAAAAGTTCGATTGAAGCTTCCTAGCTCATTTTAGAGCATCAAACGAGTTTTATCATTCCTTAATGTCTTCAGAAACGTCTTCAGATATTTTGCACTAATCTTTGTCCTGCTCTAAAATGAGCTAGGAAGCTTCAATCGAACTTTTGAAACGGTCAAAATTTATTAAAATTTGACAAGGAATTCAAAAAAAATATTTTCAAATTTTTTCACCGGAACCATCGGGTTCTAGGAACCATTTTTTGTTAAAAATAGCATTTTTCGGCCCTAGAAGCTATCGCCTTCAATTAAAAAATCTGAAAAAATTTGAGATTACGTATTTTGATGAAAAAAACAAGAAAAAATTTTTTTCAGATTTTTCGAGGCTCCGTACTGTCCTAAAAAAATTATTTTCGTCAAAAAAATCGGTTTTTGGCTTCAAAAGGTGCGTTAGGTAATCTGAAAAAATCTGAAAAAAATTGAGGTTATGTTTTTTAATGCGAAAAATAACTGAAAAAATTTCCGAGTACTACATCGGCTCATACCGCCGTATCTCGATTTTTGAAATTTTCAATGATTTTATCTGAAGGCCTGAAGCACTCAAAAAATCTGAAAAAATTCAAGGTTGTTTGGATTGTGGAAAAGTATTTTTATGAATTTTTTCAGATTTTTTACTTGCTTCATGTCCTCAGAAAAAATATAGATCGAAAATGGACGTTTATACCGGAAGTGGGGGGTAGGAGGGGGGAGGGGGTCTAAAAATTTTTTTTTGGGACCTTTTTACCATGTACTATAATATACCAAAAGCGCGTCAAGATCGGTGACATACGTGCGCACGGTTTTGTAAAAAAGTATTATTTTGACCCATATATATATGCATGCCAAACCTATATCTATAGAGATTTAGAGAGATTTTAATCAACGAGTTAAGCTCATCGATTGGTCGCTCAACTTATGCGCGACCAAAGAAGGTGCAAGCCCTCTTGTCGTCGGTGATAATTATGTGCAGTCTGTTTTCGCCAGCTTCGTCTATTTTCGAGCATTAATTAAAAAATAAAGTTTTTTCGCTCAGGTTGCTGCTGCTGCTGCTGTACACTGTCACGAGGCAGTTGTTTCAATTTGCGATTTTAATGATCCAGAAGAAATTGCCGCCAACTGACTATTTTTCTTTCCGCAGAAGCTAGCGTTCCATTTAATCTAATTTAATTTTCTTGGATAATTTGCGTAATTTTTCTGCCTTCGCTTTAAGGATGTTCTAATTTTCCAACGGAATTACGTCGGCCCTTCAGTAGTTGAAAATATTTTCGTGAAATGATTGTCTCACCTGCCAAAGGTTGGATTCAATTGATTCGGTATGTATCTCTTTCGATCGTCGATTACACGTTTGCCAAGCTTGAGACGCAGATAAGCGTCTGTCTTGCCGCTCAAAGGGTCCGTGGGGTTCAAATTTAAACCTGATCGTTCGACAGGGAGCCTCGTGAAGATCGATATGCATTTTCATACAAAAAACTGATTTACTTGCATTTGACAACGTAGACGCGGACTACGAGGCTCAGCGGTTCTTGCGACGGATAATCGTTCAAAAGGCCGGAATTGGCGCTCCGCCCGACGCGATTAACGCAGGATAATCCATCGGGATGGGGCCAACGATAGATGGCGATGAAACCCTGCGACGCAAAGTTTTTCATCTTCGACTGGAAACAGCTCGTGCATATAAGAGAGACGTATACCTTGAATTTACCGACGCGGTCGTCGTCGGCGGCGCGTCGCGGGTCGTTGCTGTGCTTGCCACGATGAAGCTCGAAAGTTCGCAGTCTGTCCTGAAAGCCGGAAAATTCCGGCTGAGATTCCAACTCTTCGGAGTACACCTGAGTAAAAACCGATCGATGCGTAACGTCTCGGTCTCAGTCGCGATCGCGACTTAATGCCCTGTGCTCACTTTGAAACTCGCCAATCGCTTTATCCAGGGCTTTGCCTTGCTCGTCGGGCCGCTCTCTTTATTCTTCTCCTCCTGCAGCCGAGACAAAGCCTCTCGAGTATTTCGGCCGTTTTGTGAATGTCGTTTAAACGAATGACCTACCTCGATAGATGCGTAATATTTGGACCACCAGTCGAGGGAGTCGTCGCGCTCGACGGCGAGTGTAACGGCAACCTCGTCGCTTCGTCCTTTCCAGGGCAAAAGTTTACCTAGCCACGACTTTTTATTCTGCTGATAATTTTTCAGCTTTTTGTAGCTCATCCAAGTAGTCCCTTCTCCCTCGTCGTCTTCGTCAATGCGAATCGATACGTTGACTGAAGCAGACAGAAAAATTGCGTCATCGCGAGCACCATGCAACGCCACGAAGTCGATTATTTTCTCACCGTGTTGGCGCGTTGCGGCAGTACTTGACTTTTTAGTGGGTTGATAAATGGCCGCCTCGTACTCGTCCCTCGTCACTAATTTCTGCACGAAGCTGTAAATCGTCGGCACGTTACACACGCCCACGTAGGCGAAGCGGCCGACTCGCGACTCGAAGGCCTTTATCATAATCGGCGGATAATAAATTTCCTCCTCTGGCATGTTCTGCGGAGTATATCGGAATTACACGGGCTGTGGCGTTCGCGCCGCCCAATGATAAGAGAGAGAGAGAGAGAGAGCAGATGCGCACCAAATCGAGCATAGCGTGGATATCGGGAAAATTCGGCAGTCTCGCGGCGTTCTCCATGACGCTGGACTCGAGACGGGCCTCGCCGCAGCGGACGACGAGCTTAGGCTTCGTTACCGAGATCAGGTTCAGCCGCTTGAAGTCGCGGATACCCCAGAAAATGACTTCGAGTCTGTAGCTGACCAGTCGAGGCCGAATTATTTCCGGTACACCGTCGATGGCCTCTGATTTCGGCTCTTCGTCGTCTTTGTCCAGCTGGACAAGTGCATATCACAGCCACGAATGCACAGAATTTAATTTCGCAAGTTTAATTGGAAATACTCCAGCTGTCGCTATTATTGCCAATTAATGTACAGTTTGGTCGTTTGCATTAACGAATTTCGCGCAAGTTTTTATCAAACGTTCGACTCACGTGTCGATGTCCGAGACAAAGAGAACTGTAATTCTGATTGGAATGAAAAAGTGCTCAACGATAATACGTTGAGTGCCGCTCAACTAAAAAGCAAGCCATTTCAGATTTTGTGACCAACAGTAGGAAGAATATTTACCATTGATCCGTTGGTCGTAAAATCTGAAATAGACTAGTTGGAATCCAGTCTCGTTTTCGATGCATACCTGAACGAGTTCGAAGGCAGCCATAACAGCGCCCTGAGCATTTTGCTGATGACCAGTAAGCTTGTGCCATTTTAAGCGGGGGAGAAAATCCGATGTCGAGTACTGCTGCTCCTTGAATTTAACCATCGGCTCCACCAGACATCGTCCGTATAGTTCAAGCCTGTTCTATATCCATCGAGGAAAAATATGCTTTAATACGGGGCTTGGGACGCAGTCGAGCCAGCCTAACATCACTTACGTAATCGCTGTCGAAAACTTCCATAACGACTTTGGGCGGCTGATCCTTCACGTACTCGGGCGTAGCGTGGAGATCGATCGCCGGCAATACGAGCGTTTGATCCCAAAACGGATCGAGTGTCTGCTTCTTCACCTGCATTCGTGATTTTTGATGTTTTTTATTCGTATAAAAAATAAGCCAAAAAAAATCAATCATTAGGCGTGTAAAAGAGAAGCCGAAATGGCAAGTTGGTGGGCTCAAGCCGGCTATAATGTGACCTACATCCGAGCTACATTGTGTGCTCTCTGCTCTGCATTCGCCTGTGTGTACGCTCTCGATATATATTTCTTTTTCTTTTTTTTTGCTCTATTGTGTCATGCTAAAAACTCACTTTAGTGGTCATTGTGTAGCCTTGAAAAATGATCCGAACCATTGGATCAAGCAGACCCGACGAATCCATGCCAGGCTCGAATCTGCCCTGGTAAAGGTGCACTCTCAATTGAAATTTCTGCGGGTGGAAAAAGGCAGGCAAGTAAACAAAGCGTTTGGCTATCAATCTAGTTTAATAGTATCGCTGGACGAAAAAAATGATGGATCGAGAAGGCGCGTGACGCGATGAAAATTTAGCACGCGACCCCCGCTCGGTCCTTTGTCGTTTAATAAATTGGCCAACGGGACGGCAGGTCTGGCGGCCGGTCGTTAGCACTTGTCGCACGCTTATCAATCAGCCGCTGCTAAACTCGCTCGACTAAACGCGACTCACCGACGAGATCTCGTACTCGAAACAAGCGGGAAATTTGTCCAAACCAAGGGTCTCGTCGACGCGGTAACCAGGTGGCAGGGCGCTCCAGCATGCGGCGGCGAATTTGGCGTTGCCCAGCCAGAGGAAGAGCTCGAGCTTGCAAACGCCGCCGGACATGTCGGAAGTGGCGTCGTCGAGCGTGGCGGCCGCAGCAGCCTCTGGCCGCTTGAGGAACACGCTGGTGCGCAGGCCGCAATCTCGGCCACGCTCGGCACGCTCTTCCGCGTGGATGAATCGGGCTGCGGGCAGACGAGCGTAGGCCACGCGTCGATTCTTCCGCAGCAGCCAGATGAAGATATCGGGCTGGCTGTGCTGGGGCTGTCGACGTCAAAAGACCAGTGACCGTTGATTGGCTCGATTGACTAGCGCGCCGTTATCCTCTATACTATGTGCGATCGATCTCCGTACTCACGTCGGTGGCCAGCTCTTTGATGAGCTGCAAGTGTCTGCGGGCGTGCAGCAGGCCGATCCTCAGCAGCGTGTTGTCCTTCAGCTCTCCCTGGGCTTTCAGTCTCTCGAGTATCTTTTCCATTTCCAGTCTGCAGTGGTTCAGCCTGTACTTATCCAAAATAGTGAGGCAGGAGCCATCGTCGTCCTCGTCGTCGTCGTTATCGCTGCCACAGATGGTATCCGACATGGATCGAAGACTGCGCAGATAGTCGCCGCAGTGAAGCTTCAAAGTTCGCATTGTTGCGTTGTACGACACGTAGCAGCTCTCGTGGTTCGCTGCCTCGAGCTCGTCGATTTGCTCCAGCTCGCTCTCCTGTAACATGTAGTGCGCGCGTGTCGTGTGCGTGCAAGAGCGAATAAAAACTGACCTACGCTCTCCTATATACACACTCACGTTGCAAAGTCATTTGCAAGCGGAATTATGAAAACGAGAGAGAGGCAAGATGAATCTCCCGCATACAGCTGGCCAATCTAGTTTACGGAACTTTGTTAAGCAACCGTAGGTACTCGCGCAATTTTGTCACTGTATGCCGTATGCGAGGGTGTTCTCTTCGATTGATACACCCGCCGAGTGCGCATGTATATTTGCAAGTGGAATTAGCCATGTCTGCTTCGTACACGGAATTGCTTTCATTGAATAATGTGCAAAATTTATAAAGCCACTCGAAAATTTGTATTTTTAATGCGGCTACGCGCGTTTGCTTAACAGCGGGCTTGAGAGAGAAAGAGAGAAAAACTCGTCCACCCAATTGCCCTCCTTCCTGAATCTTTGTCAAGACTTCCCTGTGAGATTTAGATCGTTTAAAACTTCTCGCTCTCTCTCTCTCTCTCTCTCTCTCTCTCTCTCTCTCGGTCTGCACTCGGCTGTTATTTTTAAAAACGTCCTCGGTCGAGAAATGGACGAGAATAATTACCAAAAAATCAGCGATGAAGTTGAGCCTGTTGGAATTGCGCTGTCGCCAGTCCGTATTCGGCCACCAAGACTTGACATGGCAACAGGGCTTTTTTGCGCCTAGAGCTATGTAGTTGTACTTGTTATCCAGCGAGTCGATTTTCAGAGGCGAGCTCGCGCTTCTGCTGTCGGCGCTGGCGCAGCCTATGCACGACGAGCTACCTGTTATACATGGACATTTCGTGTGATTAATGACTTTTCGCTGATTCCTAAACCATTGATATGAATCGGCTACAGGCCGAGAATGGAAGAATAATCGAGACACGAAGCTCTAAGAAGTATTACAAAAAAAATGTAAAGCATGCAAGATCAAAAATGTAGCTAGAAGATGCGATGAATTAAATCCGAGTAAGCGTATCTGTGCGAGTATGGCTTAGACAGGACGTTACCGGCTTTGAGCGTATCCTCGTCGTCGTCTTGCTCGTCGTCATCGTCTTGGTTGCCGAGCTGTTTCGCCGAAGCGCAGTATTTCCTGTTGCCGGCATTACCCAAGTTAAGCTCGAAGCTAACAGACTTGCCACACGCCAGGAGGCTTCGATCGATCATACAGGCATCGTGTAACACGCAGACTAGCAGATACTCCTCCACACGCCAGATACTAGCCTGCACAGACGCAACGAGCACAAATACACGTGTGATCGCACTTACAAAGCAGAGATATCGATAGCTACTCGTATGAACGAATGGCTTTGAAGGGCTTAAAAATTGTATTTACTTCGTGACATGATTTTGATAGACGTTTTTTGCAATTTTAATATAGCGTAATACGGCTCGAGAAGAAAAATCGGTGGAGCGAAGAGGAGGGGGAGAGAGGGAGACACGTAAGACGACTCAACTTTTTTCGCGATATATAGCCTCCCTGTGCAGCGAGCGCGATATTTTATAAAGTAGATTCTGCATGTATAAACGTAAAAACACGAGACAGAAATTCAAGCTCTAGCTACAGCGACGGGGCTGTAAATAAAAAGAGAAAATGAACATTTTTTAACTTTTCCCTTGCTCTCGCTCGCGCGTATATGTGCATTTTACTTTTGCATTTTTATTGAGAGAAAGAGAGAGAGAGGAAGAGAGAAGCCATAAGTGCTGTAAAATACGCATACGTGCGTATGTTATATGCATCGGAAAAATTTTTGATATGACTTTTTTTATACGACTACTCGCGCGAAGAAGGCATTATTATTGTAGTCGGGTGCTGCTCGTCGACGGTGAAATATTATCTTGACAGATTTCGCGTAATTAAAAAAATAGAAACTTTATGCGCGTATATATTTACGCGCTTGGCTGCGGAGATGTAATTAGATTCGCCGCACGCACGCGCCAACTCTTAGAAATGTTATACAGATTTATGTAAACGAGAGAGAGAGAGAGAGAGAGAGAGTTTAGGGTCAAGTGAGATAGATGTAAGTTGCAGATAGTTCACTTGGATCCGGATAAATCATTTGAAAAATATAGCTCTCAGTCAAACTTTATCCCTCGAGTTTGTCTAGCTCTCGGGGTCACATATCGACTCTCTTTTTATGCGAGCAAACATCGAGACTCTCGCTGGGATTTTTTTTCTCCGCTCTCGAATCGAATCACTAATTTATAAAATCCTTCGTTTACCTCGGCCAGGCCAGGTGCGTCCTCGATCGTTACGCTGGCCGCCGTGGCAGTTTCTAAAATGTCGATTTCCACTTTCAATGACAGCAGCAAACGGCCCCGATAAATCGGTTCCTCGTCTCCGTACAGATGTATGAACGATGGGCCGAAAGTTGGTAAGAAACCTGAAAGATTTTTCTTTTCATCATTACAAGAATGGATCTACGAAAGCTTGCACACGCAGAGAAAGGAAAACAAATATTAGGAAATGTCTCCTCTTTTTCTTGGATATACAAGCTGAAGTACATATAATATCAGAAACATGTATCTAAGTTAAAAAGCTCTCAATATCAGGCGAAATGAAAAATTTTCTCTGTCTCCGTTTCACATACAGATATACATGTAGAGAATATTAGACACTCGCACGCTATCTTCCTCCCGGCGTACTTTAGGTCTCTCGGAAATCGCCCTCTAAGCTATATACCTCTTTACGTAATTGGACTTTGCTGGACTACTTACTGGAGCTAAGAGAGAAAGAGCCGCAGAGAGAGACAGTCTCAATATCGTGGCAATAAAATGCGACACTTTTTTCCTCGTAGCGAAACAATTATTAGGATGATTAAAAAACTTGGAAAAATAATTGTCGCGATGTTTTTTCTCGTGGCGCTACTCTCCTACGTGATTTAGGTAAAACGTGCAAATCGAAAAAACAAAGCAATTTAATCCAATGAAATATTTAAATTCCTTGCGGGCGTTTTGTTTCTTATTTTCCAATATACTCTAATGGAAAGTTGGTCGCTCTCGGTATAAGGATACATTCTTTCAGACTCTATATTATATGCTTATACCCGACCTCCGATTTCTTCCCCCGGACTCGAACTTTTTCCCCGTTATTTGCTTTGCTTACTTTTTCGAAATAAAATAGCGCAGAAAACAGTTGAAAATACCTTTCCCTCTATCCAAGATCGATTTATATATATAGACACATAACGTAATGGAAGAAGGAGGATTTGCTCTCGAGGAAAGAAAATTTAGCGTGATGCAATTTGCGGGGTAGGATAGAGGACGAAATCGACTTTTGTATAAGTATGGAAAAAAAGAATTTCATCGGCATAGATTGCTCTCGAGCGAACTGGCGAGAAAGGGCGTAAAACGTCGCCGAAAATATATAGAGCTCACCCCGTTCGCTGGAGTTGGAGATATCCTTGAAGTTGAGCAGGTGCGTGGCGAGTTGGCCCGTCTTGCGGCACTTGTAGACCAATCGGGCTCGGTGGCAGAGCGACGGGAACATCTCGCGAAAGACGATGCGCTCGTTGTAGCAGGGATCACCGCAGCCGCCCTCGCTGCTCGTCGAGGCCTGCAAAATTCAGGGCAAAGCCAGGGCCTCGCGTGAGTCGAGGCGGGTGGTCGGTTCGTTTTCTGTTCGAACAGAAGAGGCTCACCTTCATACCAGCGAAGGAGATGCTGAGGTAGCACTCCTCGGAGGCCTCTCGAGGCAAATCCTCCGCCCGGTAGAGAGTGAAAATGTATCTGGCGCACTGCCTCGTGCTCAAGTATTTATTCGTGCCCAGCGGTAGCAACAAATTTCTGCGTGCGTGCCGGCGCGCCAGCGGCCCATGTAATATAATTCATTGATTAAAAATTCCATTTGTTATGGGCTGCCGAAGGCCCGGGGGGCTTTGTTGGCAGCGTTCTCGCGGAGCAGAGCAGCGCCAGCTCCCATTGAAATTAATACGCGCGCGCGAGCGCGCGTACGTCAGTCAATTAATCTACGCTCGGGAACTTTGCGCTCTGGGAGACTGTGTAATAGCGGGGAGTTGCGCGAGATATGTGTGGGTGTGCACGAGTGTGTGCGTGTGTGCGTGCGGGGGTGTATCGAGTGCAGCGCTCGCGAGTACATTTCGCTGCGAGAAGCCGTCGCAGCTATTAATATACATGTGTAGAGCTAGCTAGAATTTAATGCGACTGCGAGAGAGCTTGAATAATTTTCGAGCTGCTTGGAAAAGAGGAATAAAGAGGGGGAAGAAGATGGAAAAGAGAGGAAAAAGGCGAGGATGTTACCCCTCGATGTCGTCGTCGCCGTCCGTGTCCGGGGGCAGTCTCGTTTTTTCGCCCTTGGCCAAGACGGCAACGTTGCACATGACGTAGCCCTTGGGGCCGGCCGCCAAGTCCCTCGGGTTGGTCAGCATGGCCCACTTGTGATGGTACTGGTGGTCTGCAAGCGTGAAAAGTGCCGAGAGCACGATAATGTCGCCTCGTTACGAGTTAGTAGTGGTCTGCGAGCAAACCTGCTTGATCCCAAACGGCGGCGATTTCGAAATCGGCGCTGCCGTGGAACTTGGAGCGCTTCAAGCGGCCGCGCAGAAAAATCGATATGTCCAAGCGCGTGGCGAGCAGCTCCTCGAGACTGCACGTCAGATCGAACACAAAGTACTGCGAGAGCAAAACGATGCGTCGTCTAGTCATAATATAACCTCGCCGGCCTATAAGACGATAAACAAACCTCGTTGAAGTAGGGACTGTCGGTCCTCTTGCGGACGAGGGTCTTCTTCTTGCGATTGCCGAGCCGCACGACGCACTGCGGATTGGAGTTAGGCTCGAGATGCTTCGCCTTGATAATAGTAACGCACACCTGATAGCGCTCGACTTTCCTCGCAGGCTTCTTGCCGGCGCCCCATGCCATTGCTCCATAATACGAGCTCGACTTTCCGCGCTGCTTTTTATTTACGCGCCTGATATTTTTTCGTCGCGACGCGAGCGCCGAGTGACCGTGTGCAGCAGCAGCGATGACAATGCGCTTCGACTCGTGCTATATACAGAGCCGACTCGCTTTGCTGTTTGCATATACGTGCACACATCGGCTAGCTGAGCTATATATATGCAGGATCGATTTATCGATTCGCCGCAATTGAATCATGAATGCGACACACACACGGACGCGCACAAACAACAGTCGCGCAGACGACGCTCGCCTGTGCACCTATTTGCCAGCATGCCGACAAATAAAAGGTGTGCGCGTTGTTTGCCTCTTACCCCCCTCGCTCCCGTGCACCCCTCGCGTGTGAATATTTATTTGTCTTGGTGAAAAATAGCGCTAGTGAGCCAAGCGAGTCTCTCTTTGTAACGGCAGCAGCAGCAGCTTCTATACCTGTATAGTGCGCGTATGCATTAATTTACGCTCGGCTCCGGAACGAGCTCAATGATCTCGATTTTGAGGAACGTGACGCGCTTCTGTAAGCGTCCAGCGTGCGCCTGCCCACTGGATTATTCGATAGCGTGATGTACGTACACGCTTCGAGCCTCGCTATATCATGATTTATCGAAATTAACCGTCCGACAGATATTTCAATGACTATTTAGATATATTTTTATTTGATTGATGGGCAGAATGTGCTTCCAGCGAAAATTGATTCGCACTTTATCACGCGCTCTGTTTTACATTTCTATCATTGGTCAATGTAAGCTAATGCGCTAGAATTTCAATGCCAACTCTATTTTTACTAGAATAAAGCACAACTACTGAAATTCGCTTGCATGCGGCTGCCGACGCAATTTCAAATTTCAATCTGAATTATTGGTCTTTTTTGCACTCGTGAAATTGAACCAGTGCCGGAGACAGATTCTCCAAGTACTCCAACATTTTCCTTTTGTACTGTTCTTGTCCATTAGAGTTCAAGTTTCTAATGCTCCCGAAACAATAGCTTGGCATCTTCATCAGCTAATTTCAAGTTTTCGTGACACTTATGAAGCTATGGATCCTCCGAGATATCCACCTCTTTTCTGTCCACGTCACCCTCTCAAGCTAAATCTACTTTCCACCCTATAAATCGTTAGAGAGCTTCAAATTATATTTACTAGAGCTTTAATGACTTGAAGCGAGTTCAGAAATCTGTATTAACGGTCATTGTTAGTTACTACCCAATTGAAGATATAGTAGATCCCTATTTTGGACATCTTATTATCATAAGGTAAGATTCCTTCTTTATCGGCATAGATTGAGATAACTATAAGCGAGTGGTCAGTGGTAAGACACATTCATAAAGTGCCACCTGGTGGTAAATGTGACTGTTGATACAGGCATTTAATACATATCGATTTATGTACGGCTTAACCGTGACTAAACACAGATGTCGCTGTATCAATTTGTTTTAGCATGGTATTCACAATAGAGATGTAATTTTTAGCAGGGGTAAATTTTATACTATACAAAATGTGTTATTTGAATGTTATTTAACAAATTATTGTATAAATAGCTATGTAAATTTTATTTTTCCCACTCCAACTTAATATACGCAAATTTGCCGCTAATTCAGACTCTCGTGGGAAAAATAATATGATCAACAGTTGCTGTTATAGTTTTATAACAAAACTCGTAACAGCACTCGCCTTCGGTTTTTGCTATAATCCCTCGTTTTGATGAAAAACCATAACTGCTCCCGTTGAGAAATATACCATTAATGCCAATAAAAAACATCAATCAATTATGGTATTCATAATAATAACATTTGCCGTTACCTTTGAAACAAAAAAAATTGTTTTTGCCTATTGAGTAAACGAATACAGCATCAGATTTAAATAATCGCACAACCTTTCAACTGGCAGATTTCATGCAACAGTATTATAAATCTCAAATTTTATGTCGAAAAATATGAGTTTGCTTAGCAGCGGGCAAAAAAAAATGCGATAAAAGAAAGGTAATATTGTTTTCCCGATACTCCAATTATCGCGATCCTTTGAACCTTCATATCCCTTTTATACGAAGGCGAGTCGTTGCTGGTCGCATACCCGGTTTGCAATTCTTGTCAGCAGAGATTTGTACATTAGATTCGGGTTGCAGCCGAGCGTATATCTGGCCTACTCCAATTATAAGCGCGAGAAAAGGGTGAAAAAAGGTAAGGTAGGTATACGGCGCGTGGAAGGCAGTCGGGGGCCGGCACGCACGGGGTTGTGTGTGTGTATGTATAGTCCGAGAGGCGCAGCGACTCGGGCATAAAATGAAATGCGCGCGCGATCGGTTGCGGTGATTTATCGAACAATGATGCAAAATTTGTGGCGCGCGGAAACAAGCTGTATAGCGTACATGCACGGACTCGAGATATCTCGCCGCTGCAACGCTGCGGAGATTTATTTCCAACAAATTGTTGCCCGGCCACAGAAATACCAGGCTGGCTGGAAGGGCGCGTAAAGCCTAAATTGGTTCGTTCCAAAGGCAGCTCTCGGCTCTCGCTCGGACCGCGCGATGCGATTTTAGCGGCCGATTATAAGTTCGTCGGGGAAAAACACTTCCAATAGACGTGTAACTATACTTTTCTTGGCGGTGAGTCTTTTGCGAAAAGCCGACGTCCAATCGGTAATTGCCGGAGCCGCGGCGACACGCTTATTATTGTCACTCGTGTCTCGCACACGAGTACGTGAACTCATAAGGCAGCGCAACTCTCGCATGGCACGTCAAAAAAATAATAGAGCCGAAAAAGCAGCCGATTACACGTTGGCAAAGTTCGCGCGTGGATAGGAGCTACTGTCGGCACATAAAAACAGAATTGCTATCGTCGAGTCTCTCACAATGAGTCTGTCGTAGCGCGCTTCTTTTATCTTTTCGAGCAACGATGACTGGATGAATATTACAACTATTGACTTTTATTTTTATTGCGAGACAGCTACGTATAGGGCAGGGCCTCGCACAGGTGACGATCGTTCGGATGCGCTTATACTCGTATCGATTATGTCGGGGTTGAAGCTGACTGTTGAAATTATTTGACGGCACCCTTAGATACGGCTAAAAAATATTTTGATTCACTGTGTCAAGTGAATAATGTAGCATGTACGTATTATACTCAGCTATTTACCAAGTGACTTAGATACACATGGATAATGATGCTTGTTCCATGTTATTACAAAATTCAACTCCGATATTTCATCGGACCTAGACACGAGTCGATTACATTCTAACTTTTTTCGTATTCTGCGTAGTATTGAATGAGGCTTTTTGAAACAAAAAATTGATTGTTCACATAAAGTATCGGTTTAATTCCACATCATGACAATTAGTTGATTCAATTTGAAGTATTCGGTTACAAAATCACAAAACAACAAGAGAGTCTCAGAGAATGCAATATTTATAGATATATGTATAGAAAGCAAACGAAAAGGCGCAGACATGGGTCGAGGTATAGTTTCTATGTGTACGAGGAGCGTGAGAGAAAACAGGCGGTGCAGCAAGGTAGTAGCAAAGAGGAATGCCCACTTGATCCAGGCTCGCGCGCGTTGTGCGACAATCAAGCTTTTTTCTTTTTTCTTTTTTTGTTGTTGCGTCGACGGTCGCGCGCGGCGAGAGTACGAGAAACTCGCGTTTCTGAGAGAGCGAGCCGAGCCGAGAACTCCACGACGACAGAGTGGGAGTTTTGTAGAGCAGCCGTCAGTCAGCCGTATGTCGCGCGCGGGTACTATTGCACTCGAAAGTGCAGTGCCACTCGATCGCGTCCGAATGTCCGCGGGCCTCGCATACATCGAGCTCGCGTGATCACGCTATTCCATTTGAATTTCGAGGAGCTAGTTCGTAGAAGATGAAAAGTTGCAGCGCGTCGGCGAAGCGATGATCGCTAAGCAAACTCCATAAACGCCGAGAAAAAAGGAGTGTAGGGAAGAATAATTGCACGTCAAATATCGTAGTCGGAGAAACAAATAAAAAATAGCGGGAGAGCGCGAGGTATATAGCTCTGGCGAGCGTCGCAGGCACAAAGGCACGTACGTACGCGTGCCCACGGCACAATAGTCGGTCGGCGGCGCTCGGCTCTCGGCCAGGGGCGCGCAGGGTTGGTGCTGGTGCACCAGGCACTGCGGCGGTCGCGTGCCATATTACGCGCGTATATATATAATACACTCGAAAAACCAACCGAAAGAACATGCGTGTGTATATATGCGCAGCCCCTTGCCTATACACGTACTGCGTCTCGCGCGTACACACTTATTGTTTACGAGCGTGTAATCTCTGATTGTTTCCGTACTCGAGGCTGAAATTCATCCAGGCGCAGCCTATCGGTTTGGCCCGAGCACTCTAGGCTATACGTCTTATATCGCAGAGAATAAATATCTGATCGACGGATTCGTTCGCGATAGAGCTCTCGGAGCTCGCGTACTGCATCGTCGAGTCGCAAAAAGCGAGAGAAAAATTTATTTACACGAATAGTTGCGAAATGGATCGATACGAGATCCTTGAGAGTTGAGCAGTCGGTACGGCGTCGCCGTCGAAGCCGAGCACGCGCCAGTGCGTGACCTTTCGTCGCCGAGTGCGTGGGAAAAAGCAGTTGCTTTTTTATTCGCCAGCTCCTAGCTACTTGTTCTTCAAATATCGAGTACTCACTCGGCGCATTCAGGCAGACGTGTGCGCGCCGATGTTCCTTTCGGCGCTCCCAAAGAGTGAGGCGCGTATTGATTTTCCTGGCTGCACAGCAGCAGCGGCAGCGCGCGAGCCGAGCTGCACGCAGCAGCAGCAGCCGCAGCGCGAGAGAGAAAACTCGATTGAGACGTTCGCGCCCGCTGCGCGACTGCGGAGCTGCCCATGCGCAATAATTATTATAAATTACCGCCAGTGCCAATTTGCCGTGATTCGGATGAAAATTAAATTAACTCGCTAAAATATCTCCGATAAATGCCTACTCGCGTCGACTCTTTGCCGTTTAATAA